AGAGGGACAGCTACACACACAGACACAAACATATTTGTGATCGATGATAATCTGCTAAGCAGAGAAATATATTTAATTACACATACACTAGATAAAATAATAGGACATGACAGTATAATAAGTCTGCACGAAGGTGAGTAGAAGAAGTGACACTGCTGCAATCACAGAGATGATGGCCCAAGGATTACTAAAATAGTCCTCTTTCAGAATTAGCCTCCATTTATGCCAAGGCACTCTATAATACTCACTCACCTCTTCACACAGATCTGAGAAGTAGAACCTGCTCCTCGCCATGGTAATTCCTGGCGAAAGCTCGTTAATCAGAGAAGCCACTTCTTGAGTTCCTGATAACTTTGTCTCTATAATCCCACAATGCATCAGTAACTCCACGTCACCTGGTGTCTCTATCAGACGATCCAAGATAAAGAGATAGTCATTCATATAATTATCGTGCAAGTGACAACGTTCGTATGCAATGAGATTCCTCAGAAGAGTCTCCGTCGCATCTTTTATTCTCAACCGTGAGATTTCCAACACCCCATCTTTGAATCTGATGTCAAAAGGACTCCCGCTGTTCTTCACCTTGAACTTCACTCCAGCTTCGCGTAACTTTGTTGCCCTTGGCATAGTCACGCACTTTAGTTTGTTTTTGCTTGGAAGAACTCGAGGGACATAACAAATTCTGGCAAAATCAACAAAATGTTGTATTTCCAGTTCACCCACTTTTTCCTCAATATTGAAGTTATCCATATCCAGCAGATTCAACTTCCTTTTGAAGAACTCGTAGGTTAGCATGATTGCTGAACGCCGAACATCGTTCTTTCTGGGAATGTCTGATTTTGTTAATGAAAGAAGGTCCTCGATGATGGAGAAAGGAACTTGATTTTCAAGTAAAAGCATGTCGGTTTTAATGAACCGTAGCTTCCATGGGCCGCCAAAAAAATGATCATACTGATCCTGCAACTGGTTATTACCTGAGACATTTCTGAAGAATAGTTCAAGAATGAAAGCGGAATCTACCAGAATGATCTCAATAAACTTGTCACTGTCAAGTTCAATGGGGTCTGCATAACAGTTTCGTAGATACAATTCTTTCTTCTTCAAAAGGTGGACACAGTCACGTAGGCTTACCTTTGCTCGTGACAGAAAGTCCTTCAGTAACCTCAGTTTGTGTTCTTCCATGTGTTTGAGGTTTAGATTGTTGTGATGAAGCGGACCAATTGAAATTTCCCGAGGAGTGAAGGCTTTCTCATTTCGTTCTCGCAGATGAGTGGGAACTTTACAAATGCTACATTTACTGGACAAGGGAGGAAGCTTCTGCAATTTGTCTCCCAGGCTCTTTACAAGTGAATCTGCTAGCATTTTTACATCGACTGTGATGTGATCGAATCCTTCGGTTAAGTCAACTGCTTCCCCCATTATCTCTGTGCGTGTATTCAAATTTTGATGAATAAGGAGATCAACAAGTTGTTATTTCTTCACTGCAAAGAAAGAAGTAAAGGGGGAAATTAAAAGATAAGTCATTTGATTGAATGATGCCAGTCTTTGGTTGTATGGATTGAAACTGTAGTCCGAAAATAATATGCTGACAGAGAACATTTAACAGAAAGCTTCAATCGGCGGATTGGATGGGTCATTAACAAAAGGAATCAAATTAATTAAAACTAAAATTTTTGTGAAAATAGAAGGACTTGAGAGGAATTGAAACATGCTGTACAAGAGAAAATAAACTAGATGTTGGCCCTGAGTAAATATAGCTTCAGTTCAAGTATTCTGTGTGTGTGTGTGGACTCTGCTATATATATGCAAAATGGAAAGTCTACGGCGTGCATGTGAGGAAGAGGAACGATTCATCCATTGGGAAAAAGGCAAATTAAAGACAAAGAAACTGGAGGATGAAAATCAACTTACATTTTGATGGGTAATGGGAAGAATCTGAGAAATGGTGAACTGGTGGCCTTTCGTCTTCCTCGGAAGTTTGGGTTGGTGATGACTGAGGAAGCGGCAATATATACATCTTCTCAGTAAACTAGGGCACAAGTCAAGTCAAGTCAATTCAATTATTTTAAGTCTTCCTTTAATAATACTGTGCTTTTGCAGAATTTAATTTTGTTATTTAATTTGTGAGTTGCATAGACACAGAAGCAACCCGGCCCCGAGCTGGGTCAATTTTGGCGGTTAACCAGCAGTGTCTTCTTTAATCAAAATCATCATATATAATTCACACGGAACACCAAAGAACTGGGGGATTAATTTATTTGATGTGAAAAGCCCGTGAGGGGAATCTTCTTAACGTTGTCATCATCATCAATTACCGTATCAGTTTCGCGTACATGGATGGATGGATGGATGGATATGCTTTGTAATTAGCGGGTGTAATTGAAGTTTATCGTTGATTCAATAATACAGCAATATTCAAAGGACAAGGCTTTTTCATCCCCTACTTCCTCCGTTAATTTTTGAGATAGAGCTAATACAACATAAAAAAGCAGAAAAAGACAGGAAAGGACGGAAAATTGCTCAGACAACGATAATTTGCTGAAAAATCCAAATTCACGAAGCAAAGAACATCAGCAAGAACTCTATTTCTGATTCAGTGCTGGAATGATAGACTATCTATTGCTTTTTAGAAGCCCGTGAAACCAGACTAATGTATATTCCCAATCAGCATCAATAATATTACATCTGGTCCTAATTATAAGAACTAGTTAACTAATTTGAGGGGATTAAGAAAATAAGTTAAGTTAACTATTTGTAATAAATAAATATTGTCTTTTCTAAAAAATCTTTGCTAATCTAGTTACTAGAATTACCATTGTTAGAAGGACTACCTTGGAAAAAAAATACATAAATATGAGAGACAAAGTAGATTGGGGTCTTATATTTAAGACTAAAGTAAAAGTCAAACAAGATCTTATATTAAGAACTAGAGGTAGTAGTATGTATAATCTACAGGAAGATCATTTAAAAAAAGAATTAGTTAAGTTAGTTATTAATACAACCCGACTCAATTCATTAACTGAGAAAGCAATAATATTTAATGAAGTAGGTAGTAGTTAAATATTGCCGAGCACCAAAAGCTTGACTAAACACAGTGGGGTTTAGTTGATTTCATTTTGGAGTGTGTGAAAAGTCCGTGAAAATTGCTGGGAATCTTCAAAATGTCATCATCAAAATTATCGTATCAGTTCCGCGTGCGCGGATATGCTTTATAATGGCTCTAATTAAAGATTGTTGCTTCTTTATCTTTGGGAAAAAAAAAAAAAAAAGCAAGCTTGTTCCTTCAATAAAGTACTATTTATATTGAGGTGGATTAGGCTTTTTCATCCTTCGTCATGTGCGCGGGGGCATCTTTCATTTTTCAATATAGCACGATGAGAATCGCCAACGTGGGTTGGCGGAATTCATGATAAAGCTTCAAGCTAATTACTATTTCAAATGCTTAATATAAAATCTAATTAATTAATTTAAAAAAATTTTAAAAATTATTAAATTATTTTAAACTATTTATATTTATTAATTCTTTTAAAACTAATTTTTCTCACCTGCAAAATTTTTTTGCCAGCTATTTGTGACAAATATATTGATTGATTTATAAACTATTTTCTGCAATCATATGTATTAAAATTATTTAGATTGAGATCTTATTTTTAAAACTTAAACTAATCTTACGACTAACTTTTATATTTTACAAACTTGATCAGCGTCAAACTTTTGATGCTGGAGCCCTGTTCTTTGTAATTTTTTTTATTTTAAAAAGTTTTTTTTTAATGAGGGTATAATGATTAATTGGTTATTGCTCATCCTTCAATAAAATTTTAATTTCTTATGGTCTTTTACAATAAATATTAACTCTTAGGGGTTTTCTTATTATAATAATTTCTCTTAGTTATCCGTAAGGTTTGAATCAGATCCAACCATTTCGTTTTCCTTTTTACTGAATTCAACCATTTTTTTTTTTTACTGAGTCTTTTAACTTTCTACCACTAAGTTTGTTATTTCTTGAGATTTAAAACTATTGAATAAGGATTAATGATGTTAGGAAGTACACACAACCTCTTAATCCAATAACCTGGGATTAACAGATTAATTTGCAGCAATATGTTTTACGGCATTTCTTCCACGGGATAAGTTTATTTTGGCTTTCTAACAAAAATTTTTCAACACTATTAGTCTTTGGTTAATAGTTTTAAATATCAGGAAATAACGAGTTTAACGGCAGAAAATTAAAAAGGACTAATAAAAAGAAGGGAAAAAAATTAGAGATGCTTCAAAACTGAAAGAAATTATAAGTACTTTCAGATTAATTTTCACTATATAATGCATTATTAAAGCACCATTTGGGGAGCGGAAAAAAAGAAGCATATCGCCGCTCTAAGACGTTTCTACATTTTAATGACAGGGATAATGACGCAAGGATTACTTGTGTTAAGAGGGATTTTTTTTTGCCTGAAATATAATTATGACAGTAATAATAATGAACAAGATGATGATGATGATAATAATATAAATACCTTGTTCTTGACAAATCTTAAAATTTGAAACTTTATCTCAATACATGGAAATATAAATAGATAGGTTTTAAATGGCACCTTTTATATCAATGACAATAAAAAATGAGATACTTGAATAAATATAATTAGCATATATTCCACTGAAGCAACACACGCGTGTTAATAAAACTATGGTTGATCATTATTTATCAACAATGTTTTATTCACGGTAGTCATTATTTTTCTCCTAAACTTACCGCATATAACAACGGAACGAATAGAGATATTTATTGGGGGTGTTTGGAAAACACTAATAGCACTTAAAAAAGTATTTTCAGGTAAGTCAGAACAAAACTTCTCTTATGTCAAACATTGTAAAATCATTTCTAAAACTCTAATCCAAATATACATACACGTCTTCAAGAAATTAAAACACACCATACAACCAACTTATACGATATTCATATCGTTAGTAATTTAATCTTCTCTCTGGATGCAAAGAGAGAGAGAGGCACAAACACATACATGTTCGTACGTAATTGATGGATCCTAGGGAGGGAAGCTCACACCTTCTACTTAAAATAATAGGAGATAACTTCATATACAGTCTGCACGAGGGTGAGTAGAAGAAGGGAAATTGCTGCAACCACAGAGATGATGGCCCAGGGATTACTAAAATAGTTCTCTTTCAGAGTTAGCCTCCATTTATGCCAAGGCACTCTGCAATAATCACTCGCCTCCTCGCATAGATCTGAGAAGTAGAACCTTCTTCTCGCCATGGTTACTCCTGGACAAAGGTTATTCATCAGAGAAGCCACTTGTTGAGTTCCTGATAATTTTGACTCAATAACCCCACAATGCGTCAGCAACTCCACATCACCCGGTGTCTCTACCAGACGATCCAGGATAAACACGAAGTCATTCACATAATTATCGTGCAAGTGACAACGTTCGTATGCAATCAGATTCCTCAGAAGAATCTCTGTGTCATCTTTAATTCTCAACCGTGGGATTTCTAACACCCCCTCTTTGAATTTGATATCAAATGGATTCCCACTGCTCTTCACCTGAACTTCACTCCAGCTTCGCGTAACTTCGTTGCCCTCGGCATAGTCACGCACTTTAGTTTGTTTTTGCTTGGAAGAACTCGAGGGACATAACAAATTCTGGCAAAATCAACAAAATGTTGTATTTCCAGTTCACCCACTTTTTCCTCAACATTGAAGTTATCCATATCTAGCAGATTCAACTTCCTTTTGAAGAACTCGTAGGTTAGCATGATTGCTGAACGCCGAACATCGTTCTTTCTGGGAATGTCTGATTTTGTTAATGAAAGAAGGTCCTCGATGATGGAGAAAGGAACTTGATTTTCAAGTAAAAGCATGTCGGTTTTAATGAACCGTAGCTTCCATGGGCCGCCAAAAAATGATCATACTGATCCTGCAACTGGTTATTACCTGAGATATTTCTGAAGAATAGTTCAAGAATGAAAGCGGAGTCTACCAGAATGATCTCAATAAACTTGTCACTGTCAAATTCAATGGGGTCTGCATAACAGTTTCGTAGATACACTTCTTTCTTCTCCAAAAGTTCAACACAGTCACGTAGGCTTACCTTTGCTCGTGACAGAAAGTCCCTTAGTAACCTCAGTTTGTGTTCTTCCATGTGTTTGAGGCTTCCATTGTTGTGATGAAGTGGACCAATTGAAATTTCTCGAGGAGTGAAGGCTTTCTCATTTCGTTCTCGTAGAAGAACAGGAACTCTAGAAATGCTGCATTTACTGGACAAAGGAGGAAGCTTCTGCAATTTGTCTTCCAGGCTTTTCACCAGTGAATCCGATACATCGATTGTGATGTTATTGAATCCTTCGGTTACGTCTGCTTGCCCCATTATCTGCATATGTGTGTGTATAAATGTATATTCAAATTTTGAAATAATTAAGGGGATCAAGTTGTATATTTCATCACTGCATAGAATGAAGTAAGATTGAAAGACAAAAGCTAATGATACCGGTCTTTGATTGTGTGGTTTGGAACTCTAGTTCGGTGACATAGTTTGAAATTAATGGTGAAGGTATAAATTTACCCCCAAAGTTTTGGCACAAATTAATGTTGCTCCGAAAGCTTCCTTGGATAGTTTATTTGGATTCATATATTTCAATACATAGCAATATTCTCCTACCCCATTAGAAAACTGGTGTTGAGAGTTAAAATATTAACATTTGTTGTTAAATTTTCAATGGTAAGAGGTAATATTGCTCTATTTTAATAATTTTGTGGCAACGTTAAACCTAAAAAAATTCCTTAGGTAGTATTGCACTTAAAAAAAGCTTTTGAAATAAATTTACAAGTTAAACTTTTAAAATAATTAATATGCTAACTGAGAATGTTTAAGAAAGCTTCATTCGACTTATTGGAAGGTTTATTAACAAAATGAATCAAATCAAAATTAAAGTTTTTGTGGAAATCGAAGGAGTTGAGAGAAATGAAACTTGCTACTTTCGATTGTTCAAAATATAAATATCAAATAACTAAATTATGCAACTCAGAAAGTTGATTAAAATTAGTTAAAGACAATAAACATATAAAAAAATATAAGTATTTTCTTAAACACTCTTATGCAGAGGTTAAGTGCCTGAGGGAATGAGTGGAAAAGGAATTGAGAGAGAATAAGTGAAAAAAGGAGATGAAAAGTATATAATTAATTAGAAGTAAAAATTTCAAAATTTTGATGCTTATATTTTAAAGCCAGTATATCATAAAAAGAAAACTCGATGTTGGCCTTGAATAGAGACAACTTCAGCTCAATTACTGTGAATAATAAAAGACACATATGGATTCACTATATATGCAGAATAGGAAGTTAATAGCACATGTACGAGGAACAAAAGAGGAATGATTCATCGATTGAGAAGAAGGTAGAAAGAAACGAAATAGAGAATTAAAGTAAGCTTACGTTTTTAGTGATAGGAGCAGCGGAGAAATGGTGAGCTGGTGGCCTTTCTTCTTCCTCGCAAGTTTGCTTTTCTGACGACTGAGGAACTAACTAGGCCTCTCACGCTGTGTGTATATATTTGTCATCTCAGTGAAGTAGTGGCCAGGTCAATAGTCAAGTCTTCCTTACTTTACCCTCAATTATATTGCGTTTTGTATAAGTTAATATTACGGTTGTCCTTATTATAAGACCCAATTTGACTAATTTATTTGATTCTAAATAAGACCCAATTATTTTCTCTCTTATATTTATGCATTTTTTCCAAGATATCCTTCTAATAATGATAGTTTTAAGCCAATATCTTAATTACAAGGATATTTTAGGATAGCAACACTATTTATTATAAATAACCAAACTTAACTTATTTCCTTAATCTCTCCTCAAATAAGTCAATTGTCTTATAATTAGGACCGGAGGAGTACTACAGTTATTAATATAAAAACTATTTACTAATTTGAGTAAATAAAAAAATTAGTTAAACTAGTTATTTGTAATAAATACATAAATATTGTTTAATAATATGTATTAACTAGAATCTTTAACATGTGCAGCTGTTATAAGACTATCTCAAAAAAATAAATAGAGACAGAGTAAATTAAGATATCATTTTAAGACTAAATTAAAGGTCAAATTATAATATTGTTATTTGATTTATGAGCTGCAGACAGAAGGAACCCACGCAGCTGTCAATTTTGGCAGTCAAATAAGTAGCAAAGTCGTCTTTCATAATCCCCGAAACTTTCTGGGAAACGCCATCATCAATTTCTGCATCAGTTCCATCCAAGTTCATTTATTAGTTTTTTTTTTTAACCCAATATTCCCTTTCCTAGCTTTCAGTCTTCAGTATTTCCCTAGCCTAAGTCCTAAGGTCTCAAGTCTTTACTTTGTTTCTTGCCGTCTGCGTCATCTCTTAGTTCCTAGACTTCCTGTTCATGCTCCCTTTCCTTCTCTCTTCATGCCTCGTCCTTGTTCTCAAGTGTGTGTTTTAATTTTCCCTCCCCCTCTTCTCCATCTCACTGCTTCTTCTTGTACTGATGGATTTTTATTTTTTATGTAGATTTTCATTTTTGTCTTGGAATTATGATATGTTTTGTAAAATTAAATCTTTGATACTTAGTGTAATAGGGTTAAAATCTTATACTATCAGAGCTTTGTGGTCTTTCTAGACTTGCTTGTTCTTGGTTTTGTTTTATGTATCCGAATTTATATATCTGATCTGTTTCTTGCTTGCTTATTATAAAACTTTTCAGCGATTAATTTTTTGGCTTTTTTTCGTTCAACCTGATAATATTTTTTTCGATTTTATTTTTTTTTGTCAATATTTTCTTTTTCCTTGTGGATGGTTAGTCCTCTTAACCGTACGTACCCTATATATTTTCTTTTTCCTTCTAGATGGGTAGTCCTCTTGACTCGCTCAATATGAATAGGAGCCATTCACATTATGATTAAGATGAGTATTTATCATCATCTAATCCAAATTGATAAAACTCACACATAATCAGATTATTAATTAAATAATACTACCTCAAGTTCTTGATATAAGAGTTAGATAATTAATTTTAAATATTAAAAAAATTATTTAAGTTAGTTATTTGTAACAAATGTATTAGATTTTTTAAACTACCCTATTCAATTATATTTATTTGTAACAAATATGAACAAATATGTACATTGAAACTATGCTTGATGGGATTCCCTATTGATTGATATTTTGAAAAGAAATTATATAAATTTAGAAAAAAATGTAGATCAAGTCTTATATTTATAATCAAATCTAATCTCTCAACTAGTCGTTATATTATTAAGGACATACGAGTCATTATTATAACTGCACCATATTTTAACATCTCCTTTTCCCCACTCTTCAACAACCCTTCAATTTCAATATTCGTCGGCTCGCAACTGTCGTGTACAGAATTGAGTTGCATGAACAAATCATTACATTGATTTTAGTGATCCCACGTTATTGGCAGGATATGTTGTGGATTGTGTAAGATTTTTTGATGGCAAGATTAATTGGATTTTTGTTAACTTGATTCCGTGAAACTTCATAAAGATACACGGAGGGAAGAGGAATGAATTGACTTTATGCCAATTTTTGTTGGGTGAATATGTACCCAGTAACATGAAGTACCACCTACTGTCTTTATTAATTAATTTAGAGAGATTAAAAAAACTTAATTAAATTAGTTATTTGTAATAAATAGATGTTATATTTTCTAAAATTTCTTATTAATCGTGTGTGTTTAATTATCTATTGATAGTATTTCGTTAACACACACACAACTACTATAAAAATTGCTTAATAGCAAAATAAATAAATATTAGAGATATAGTGGATTGAAGTTTTACATTTATAATCAAATTAAATGTTAAACTAGTTCTTATATTAATAATCAAAAATAGTATATTTTCAGGTATGTCAAATGTTTTAAAATATTTTGGATTGCCTTCAACTATTTTTTCAGGTGTATTTAGCATCCTAAATACTTTTTATTGAAAATTTATACTTAGCAATTAAGGGTGATGAATGCATTAAAATATAATTTAGAATGCAAAAAGTATATAAAAAATAATATTTCAAAATGTTAAATACATAAAATATTTTATGATACTAAATATATTTAAAAAAATATATATTCTAGCAACTTTGTTCTCTCCAACAAATCTAAAGAACGTGATGTGGCTGCGATTGAAAGTGCTTTTGCCTAGAAGAGGGAATATTTTTTACCTCATTAGTGGAACTAGCATGTGCTTCTCTCGCAATGCGCGGAAAGCTTGTAATTTGAAGTATTTTTTATTTTATTTTATCCAAAAAAATAATCTCACCTTTCACTACACATAAATGTATCATAATTCATGATATTTCACATGAATTCATGACACATAAGAAAATGAAGATATGAACATTTCTAAGCACAATCTCTAAGCTTGATTTAAATGATCATATTTGTTTCATTACATTTGTATCATGTACAAATTAATTTAAAATAATTTCCTACTATTAATTGATAGAGTTATGACATTTTAGCCTTTAATGCAATGTAGCAATCATAGTTATGAATTCAACTTTATCTTTTATGGCTGGTCCCCAAAAAAAAAATTTATTTTTATGACTCTATGCTTCCAGTTGACATTTAGATATCATAATGCAAATTCCTACATCTTCCAATAATAGTTGATTTTTAACAACCATCACACAATTATGGAAAAATATTTTCCATCCTACTATGCTCCTAACTCATATAGAAAATTTATTGAATAGTAACTGTACCTTCTTTTTCAATGATAAAAAATAATGGAAAAAATCTTTATATGTCAAGATAAAAAAATGCTTACTTCCTCATGGAACGTGTGAGGACGTGGGCTTCAATGGTTATAAAATTACAAATAATCATATTGCATCAACAAACAAATAATCCAACTTGGTTTAAACAAACAAACAAATCATCCTCTTGTAATTATGATTTTCTAAATCCCAAGTCAAGGATACATATTTTATTGCCTTACATCCCCCAAATAATTCAAGGAAAAAATTAGAGCAGGTGTAAAATTTGAAGAATTCCATACTAAAATAACATCAATCATGAGCATCACATAAAAGAATAGAAACACAGCATCACTTGCAAGGTGCTGAAAGTCGGGGAAAACACCTAACAGGGATGATATATTTTATTATTGATTCATGAGGTGCAATAGAAATTACCAACCTTAAACATCAAGATCCTCTAGATTTCATGATTTATACTATTGTGCAACGAATTCAGATTAAGAGACAAATGTTAAAAAAAAAGTAACTTAAATGGGAAAATGACGCCTTCACTTAAAACTTCCTCATTGTTTGTCCTCATTCTTTTTCATAAAGAAGCTTTAAAAATTAAACTATAATGCAGGCATTGTGGTTGACCAATTATATATACATACTGACGATATTGCTACACTGGGAAACGTGTCTCATAACATCTACATGATTAATACTAACAATAAAACAATACCGGACATAGTACTCCTAACAATGTGTTCTACACAGAATGGTCAGTACTTTGATGCAGATGACCCTTATCTTTGAGAGACAGGGCTGTTGATAACGTAATGGTGACAACTTGGCGTGCATAAACAATAGCACATACGAATAAGAAACTTGCACTAAGATAGCTTCTGCATAATATTTCCTCACTCATATCGCCAGGCGAACTTATTTATCTCTTTTACACGCATTGATATTGCCATGTACCGCTTCACTGGTATACCAAAGACAAAAAGCTAATAGCCTCTAATGGATTATAGTTCCTTGTGCCTGCATTTAAAAAAGAGACCCCCCTTACACCTCTTAATTCCATCAAAAATGCATAAAGCTACATTGAAGTTTTTTAGGCACAATATTTCCTTTCTGAGATAGAACATAAATTAGGAAAATCTTCTCGTATTGACTCACTGATCCAGATACAACCCAAACAAAAAAAAAAAAAAACAACAACAACACGACACCATATTTTATATAGAAGCTATTGGCTTACAACACAGGAACTGAGAGGTGTAGTAATTAAAAGATATAGAAGCAGTGAGAGAATAAGATAGCCAATATATGTACATAACATTAGAATTTATTCAAAAGCTGGGTATATTTTCAACAATTTGTGTAAATCAATGATATATTAACTTGGTCGGGCCAGCTTATTAGTTTCAGACAGCCAAAACAGAGCTTTTCTTATCTACATTCATATAGATACCTACAATATCACCCAATAATGTTTCTATTTCCTTTTGTCAGTAATTAGTAATTATGAAATATCACCTGAATGAAACTTCTGAAAACAGTCCTTCCCCAAACTTTCTACAAATCAAAGTTAGCCTTGCGATCAAAGCATGTTATTTGTTTTCCTGATGCACGCACGTTTAAGAAATAATGGTTAAGTGATGCTAAACTCTGTGAAACAGAAAAGAAGGAAGAGAAAACTGATGTAGAAATCTACACGTAGCAGAGGAAAGGGACAATACCTCAGAAAAGTCATCCTCTAAATCTCTGATTTTATATAAAACTGATTCTCCCTGCATTTACTTCTGGACTGCCAAAATCTCTCACAGCACTTTAGATTCAGAAGAAAAAGCATCCACCTGCAACTTTTACCACGTCTCATTTGGCAGAGCATGAGAATATATTGTCTTTTTTTTTAATCATGTGCTTTGTTACTTCACGGTTGTATTTGACAGCAAAGAAGCATTTGAATTTGTTTCCACTGATTTATACATGATCTGATACTTTTTTATTTGAAAACAAATGTTTGAATTTTTAACATTGCATGGAATGAAAACTTTGAGATAACTTTTGCATATTCTGGTAAGTGATGAGTTAGTTGTTGAAGTTTTATGGTGAACATTGCTTCTTATATTGTGAGTTTATGTTAGAATGAATTGGATTATTATTGTTATTAATGCTATGGTCTTTTTCTTGACTCTTGCAGATCGAGAATGTGAAGCTTTCATGTCCTTCCTACTTTGTATATACAGTTGGGAAATTGATGATGGAGCATTACCCATTTGTTTATAAGGATCAGCATATTATAATAATGTCACTTAAATTGATTATAAGTGTAAATCCAGATGTTCATTATGAAGTGCATGTAACGTAGTCCAAGAACACAGATTATATATGTTGTTAAAGAATTAAAATTATAAGTAAGTCGATCCTTAGACTCAAAACCTTATCATTTTAGTTTTTAATAATAAACCCCATGCCTCACAATCAAAGAGGATCTTCATTATTATCCCGGCACACAGCATGGCATGTTTGAGCTGACCTCCTACACTTGGAATACCAACAAAGAAAACAAATATATAAGAATTGTGAATCGACTTTATAGGACAAATACATAATAACTGTTTATTGTTAAGTGTAAAGAACTGAGTATACACCAATGAATAATAGAGCACTTGCAGAAATGAAACTTTACCCAAATTAATTAAACGAAGGAATGAAAAGGGGAAAAAAAAACATAATAAAGTGCAGCAGGAGCCCAAGCCTGACAGTGCATCACACAATAAAATAATTCAAAGTTTAAAATTGGTTTGAAATATGTATTACATATCACAAAGTCCTAGAAAATTGCCATAACAGTTGCCAAAATAAAGTCCACTGAATATAACAATGATAAAAAAATAGTCCAAACCAAGAATTGATAACCCACTTGAATCTGGCCCTTAGCTGCCTCGCAGACCTTCCAGTTCTCATTACCAGGCCACTTCTGCCCGTTGAATTATAGGAAACACAGAAACGCAGCTCTTACTGATGTGTAATCCACAAACGTGTAACCCATATTCGATTGCTCCTTGTCATGCTCAAATTTCCTGAGAAAGAAGCATGCAGTCATGAACCATTAATATGTGCAAGATATAGAACTGATTTTCGATAGTAGGTACCGTATTGCACTTACCTGCAACCCATTGGTAGATAGACGAAATCATACATGGAAAGAGAAGATGCCCGGTAAGAACTTTGATTTTGCTGGGAGCAGTGCTTGTCGAATATCTCCCCACCGTTCACACACATCTACATAATCAGTAATGGGGATCTACGAGATAAATTTGAAAGAAGAGCAGGGGAGGAGCAGAAGCAATAGTGAGAGGGAGATGGAAGAGATGAAGAAAATTAGAAGAAGAGCAGAGAGCACAAATGCCTTGCCGAATGCTTAAGAGGGAAGCACTGATTCATCGACGAGCATGAAAGAAGACTGTGAAGAAGAAAAAACCATAGAGCGGTTTGTGGAAGAAGAATTTGAGGTGAGAATGAGGGAGATAGGAAAGTTATAGCATCTGAGGTAGGTGCTAGGAGAAGTACGAAACCGAACTTGCCACGGTGGGAGGCTTGGGAATTTTGAAATTTGAATTGGTAGAAAGCTCTTGGAAAGTGGAAACGAATGGGCTGAATGCGAAACCCAAGTCATGACATTAACTAAAGTCGGCTCAAACAAAGCCCAAGGTAAACTAAACTGGCTTGCGAACAGTAATATGTATCTAAGACTGAGAATAAGCCATATTTGAGCTGGCTTGGTGGAAAAGATTCTATATATATATATATATATATATTGATTGATATTGATATTGATGATGATATTAATGTAACGAGTTTGCACTAGCTTCTTGTTGTATCCAATCATAACAATGGATTCAATAGAGATGTCATATCTCTTCACAAAACACCAACTTCCACTATACACACACATTTAACAACCAACTATAGTACGATAATCACAGTAACCCAACGGAGGATCTGTCCATGAAGATTATTAAAATATCAATCTCTCTCTTACTTATATATACATAGAGAGATGGGTATACACACACAGACACAAACATATTTGTGATCGATGATAAATAACAACAATAATCTGCTAAGCAGAGAAATTTTGTTTAATGACACATACACTAGCTAAAATAATAGGACATGACAGTATAACAAGTCTGCACGAAGGTGAGTAGAAGAAGTGACATTGCTGCAATCACAGAGATGATGGCCCAAGGATTACTAAAATAGTCCTCTTTCAGAATTAGCCTCCATTTATGCCAAGGCACTCTATAATACTCACTCACCTCCCCACACAGATCTGAGAAGTAGAACCTTCTTCTCGCCATGGCCATTCCCGGCCAAAGCTCGTTCACCAGAGAAGCCACTTCTTGAGTTCCTGATAACTTTGTCTCTATAATCCCACAATGCATCAGTAACTCCACGTCACCTGCTGTCTCTATCAGGCGATCCAAGACAAAGACGTAGTCATTCATATAATTGTCGTGCAAGTGACAACGTTCGTATGCAATCAGATTCCTCAGAAAAATCTCCGTCGCATCTTTTATTCTCAACCGTGAGATTTCCAATACCCCATCTTTGAATCCGATGTCAAAAGGACTCCCGCCGTTCTTCACCTTGAACTTCACTCCAGCTTCGCGTAACTTTGTTGCCCTTGGCATAGTCACGCACTCTAGTTTGTTTTTGCTTGGAAGAACTCGAGGGACATAACAAATTCTGGCAAAATCAACAAAATGTTGTATTTCCAGTTCACCCACTTTTTCCTCAATATTGAAGTTATCTATATCTAGCAGATTCAACTTCCTTTTGAAGAACTCGTAGGTTAGCATGATTGCTGAACGCCGAACGTCGTTCTTTATGGGAAGAACGTCTGATTTCGTTAATAAAAGAAGGTCCTCGATGATGGAGAAAGGAACTTGATTTTCAAGCAGAAGCATGTCAGTTTTAATGAATCGTACCTTCCATGGGCCGCCAAAAAAATGATCATACTGATCCTGCAACTGGTTATTACCTGAGACATTTCTGAAGAATAGTTCAAGAATGAAAGCGGAATCTACCAGAATGATCTCAATAAACTTGTCACTGTCAAATTCAATGGGGTCTGCATAACAGTTTCGTAGATACACTTCTTTCTTCTTCAAAAGGTGGACACAGTCATGTAGGCTTACCTTTGCTCGTGACAGAAAGTCCTTCAGTAACCTCAGTTTGTGTTCTTCCATGTGTTTGAGGTTCAGATTGTTGTGATGGAGCGGACCAATTGAAATTTCTCGAGGAGTGAAGGCTTTCTCATTTCGTTCTCGTAGATGAGTAGGAACTTTACAAATGGTACATTTACGGGACAAAGGAGGAAGCATCTGCAATTTGTCTCCCAGGCTTTTCACCAGTGAATCCGATACATCGACCGTGATGTTATTGAATCCTTCGGTTACGTCTGCTTCCCCCATTATCTGTATACGTGTGTGTGTGTACAAATGCATATTCAAATTATGAAATAATTAAGGGCATCAAGTTGTATATTTCATCACCGCATAGAACAAGTAAAGATCGAAAGACAAAAGCTAGTGATACCGGTCTTTGATTGTGTGGTTTGGAACTCTAGTTCAGTGACATAGTTTGAAAATACGCGGAAGGTATGCATTTGCCCCCAAAGTTTTTGGCTCAAATTAATGTTGCCCCGAAAGCCTCTTTGGATAGTATTTTTGGATTCAGATATTTCAAAACATAGCAATATTGTCCTACCCCATTAGAAAACTAGTGTTTGGGAGTTAAAATATTAACATTTATTGTCAAATTTTTCAATATTGCTCTATTTTAATAATTTCGTGGCAACGTTGAACCTAAAAAATTTTTTTAGGTAGTATTGCTCTTAAATAAAAAATTTTGAAATAAATTTACAAGTTAAACTTTTAAAATAATTAATATGCTAACTAAGAATGTTTAAGAAAGCTTCATTCACTGGAAGGGTTATTAACAAAATGAATCAAATCAAAACTAAAATTTTTGTGGAAATCGAAGGAGTTGAGAGAAATTGAAACTTGCTAGTTTCTATTGTTCAAAATATAAATATCAAATAACTAAACTATGCAACTTAAAAAGTTAATTAAAATTAGTTAAAGACAATAAACATATAAAAAATATAAGTTATTTTCTTAAACACTCTTATATATGCAGTGGTTAAGTGCCTGAGGGAATGAGTGGAAAAGGAATTGAGAGAGAATAAGTGAAAGAAAGAGATGAACAAAGTATATAATTAATTAGAAGTAAAAATTTCAAAATTTTGATGTTTATATTTTAAAGCCCGTATATATTAAAAAGAAAACTCGATGTTGGCCTTGAATAGAGACAGCTTCAGCTCAAGTACTGTGAATAATAAAAGACATATATGGAGTGACTATATATGCAAAATAGGAAGTTAACAGCATATTTACGAGGAACAAAAGAGGAACGATTCATCCATTGACAAGATGGCAGAAAGAAACGAAATAGAGAATTAAAGTAAGCTTACATTTTTAGTGATAGAAGCAGCGGAGAAATGGTGAGCTGTTGGCCTTTCTTCTTCCTCGCAAGTTTGCTTTTCTGACGACTAAGGAACTAACTAGGCCTCTCACACTGTGTGTATATTTGTCATCTCAGTGAAGTAGTGGCCAAGTCAATAGTCAAGTCTTCGTTGCTTTACCCTCAATTATATTGCGTTTTGTATAAGTTAATACTAAAGTTCTTAATATAAAAGTTAGTTTATTAATTTGATTTGATTAAAAAAATTAGTTAAATTAGTTATTTGTAATAAATACATAAGTATTATCTTACCTAAAATATATTTATTAATAATATATATTAACTAAAATATTTCTATTTTAAAAAAAGTAGATAAATATAAAAAACAGAATAAATTAAAATCTTATATTTAATATTAAATTAAAAGTTAAATTAGTTATTATACTAAAAATAGAAGTAATAATATTGTTATTTGATTTATGAGCTGCAGACAGAAGGAACCCACGCAGCTGTCAATTTTGGCAGTCAAGTAAGTAGCAAAGTCGTCTTTCATAGTCCCCAAAATCAATCATACATAATCCCCGAAACTTTCTGGGAAACGCCATCATCAATTTCTGCGTCAGTTCCATCCAAGTTCATTTATTAGTTTTTTTTTTTTATAACCCAATATTCCCTTTCCTAGCTTTCAGTCTTCAGTACTCCCTCCGTTCCTTATTATAAGAGACGAATAACCGAATTACGTTGATAAAAAAAACAGTTAAAATTAGTTAAGAACAATTAATGTGTAAAAAGTATAATTTTTTTTTCAAAAATGCCCTCATTAATAAGGAGAGAGAGCATGAGAGAGAACAATTAAATTATTAAAAAAAAGAGAAGTGGGAGGGAGAGAGTGTGTGAGTTGGAGACAATAAATATGGGTAAAATAGGAAATCAACACAAAAAAGTAGAGACAACTTTTAAGTGTCTCTTATATTTAGGAACATGCTATAAGCATCAAATGTCTCTTATAATAAGGAACGGAGGGAGTATTTCCCTAGCCTAGGCCCTAAGGTCTCAAGTCCCTACTTTGTTTCTTGCCGTCTGCGTCATCTCTTGGCTCCTAGACTTCCGGTTTATGCTCTCTCTCCTTCTCTCTTCATGCCTCGTCCTTGTTCTCAAGTGTGTGTTTTAATTTCCCCTCCCTCTCTTCTCCGTCTCACTGCTTCTTCTTTTACCGATGGATTTTTATTTTTGTCTTGGAATTATGATATGTTTTGTTAAATTAAATCTTTGATACTTAGGACATGTTTGAATGAAACCAAACTATGATTTGGAGAATAGCTTCTAAAGAATAAATTATAAGAAGAATAGATTTTATGAAAAAGTGATTATGAGAAGTGAGAATGTTTAGATAGTTATTATCAGCAACACTTTTTATATATACAAATTACTAAAAAAAGTATAAGTTAATATGATAATTACATAAAGATAGATTTTATTATATATTTTAATTTGAAGGAATAAATTGTTAATAATATATTTTTTACCAACATAATTAATAATACATAAGATAATATAATTAATAAATAATTAATATGTGTATATATATTTATAAAATATAAGATTAAATATGTTTATAAAAAAATAATTGAGGGATGTTAAATTCATATTATTATTAAGATCTACTCTGACAGGCATAATCATACTCTTCGATTTGAGCCAGAAGCAGAATGGATTTACTTCTTTTGAAACCATGGTTTTGGGCTTAAAAACCATGGTTTTGACCCAAACTATAGTTTCGGATTATTTCTCCAAAGTTGATGCCTCTCAAACCATGGTTTTGGGGGTGTAATAGGGTTAAAATCTGATACTATCATAGCTTTGTGGTGTTTCGAGACTTGCTTGTTCTTGGTGTTGTTTTTATGTATCAGAATTTATATATCTGTTTCTTACTTGCTTATTATCAAACTTTTCAGCGATTAATTTTTTGGTTTTTTTCCTTTCAACCTGATCATTTTTTTCGATTTTTTTTGGTCAATATTTTCTTTTTTCTTGTAGATGGTTAGTCCTCTTGAACCGTACGTACCCTGTATTTTTTCTTTTTCCTTGTGGATGGTTAGTCCTCTTGACTCGCTCAATATGAATGGGAGACATTCACATTATGATTAAGATGAGTATTTTATCATCACCTAATCCAAATTGATAAAACTCACACATAATCAGATTATTAATTAAATAACTACCTCAAATTCTCAATGTAAGAGTTAGATAATTAATTTTAAAATATTTAAAAAATTACTTAAATTAGTTATTTGTGATAAATATTTATTAGATTTTCTAAACTATCCTATTCAATTATGTACATTGAAACTATGCTTGATGGGATTCCTTATTGATTGATGTTTTGAAAAGAACATTATATAAATTTAGAAGACAATGTAAACTGAAGTCTTATATTTATGATAAATCGAACTTCTCTAACTAGTTGTTATATTATTAATTACATACGACTCATTATTATAACTGCACTATATTTTAACATCTCCTTTTCCTCACTCTTCAACAACCCTTCAATTTCAATATTCGTCGGCTCACGACTGTCGTATACAGAATTGAAGTTTTGTATGAACAAAGCATCACATTGATTTTAGTGATCCGACGTTATTGGCAGGATATGTTGTGGATTGTGTAAGATTTTTTTTTGGCAAGGTTAATTGGATTTTGTTAACTTGATTCCGTCAAACTTCATAAAGAGACATGGAGGGAAGAGGGATGAATTGACCTTATGTCAATTTCTGTTGGGTGAATATGTATCCAGTAACATGAAGTATCACCAACGATCTTTAATATAATACTTAATTAATTAATTTGAAGAGATTAAAAAAAGTTAGTTAAATTAGTTATTTGTAATAAATAAATGTTATATTTCTTAAAATACTCTTATTAATCATGTGTGTTTAAATTACCCATTAATAGTATTTCATTAACACATGTGCAGCTATTATGAAAATTATTTAATAGCAAAATAGATAAATATTAAAGATATAGTGAATTGAAATTTTATATTTGTAACCAAATTGAATGTTAAACTAACTCTTATATTAAAGACCGAAAGTAGTATATTTTCAGGTATATCAAATGTTTTAAAATATTTTGGATTGCCTTCAACTATTTTTTCAGATGTATTCAGCATCTAAATATTTTTTATTGCAAATTTATACTTAGGAATTAAGGATGTGGATGCATTAAAATATAATTTGGAATGTGAAAAGCATATTAAAAAAAATAATATTTCAAGATGTTGAATGCATAAAATATTTTAGGATGCTAAACATGTTTTTTAAAAAAATATTTTAACAACTTTGTTCTCTTCAACAACCCTAGAGAACGTGATATGGGTCCGATTGAAAGTACTTCTGCTCAGAAGAGAGAATATTTTTTTTCTTATTAGTGGAATGTGATGAGTTTGCACTAGCTTCTTTTTGTGTCCGATCATAACAACGGATCCAATAGAGATGTCATATGTCTTCACAAAACACCAACTTCCATTACACACACGCGTATTTAACAACCAACTACAGTACGATAATCACAGTAACCCAACCATGGATCTGTCCATGAAGATTATTAAAATATCAGTCTCTCTCTTACTTATATATACATAGAGAGATGGGTATATATACACACACGGACACAAACATATTTGTGATCGATGATAAATAACAACAATAATCTGCTAAGCGGT